AAAATCACGTCATACCCCTTCATCTCTAAAGCAATCAAATCCACAATCAATTTGTGCTCCCCAATACGAAGCACACAACCCTTGCAGACTCGGCTAGTACCCAATTGTTCTCCCGTAGGCAAGTCAACAGTCAAAGCATGTTCTAACTTCTCGAAACTCAATCCCAAATTCATAGCATATGCAGTACGTATAAAAGAATGAGTAGCACCGGGATCAAATAAGATTCGGGCCCAGGAATTGTAGAGAAGAATGATACCTTCCACAACGGCATTGGCAATGTCCTCCTCCGGCTGAGTCAAAGCAAATACTCGCCCTTGGTTGGTGCCGCCGGGGGCTTGAGTTTGTATCGGTCGATGCGGTGCAGGCCTCGGTGGTGGTGGTTGGGCTGCTGGTACTTGTCTTGCGGTCTGGATAGGCCCCTGAGGTGGAAAAACTGGGCAATGCATCCGAATATGTCCCACACCTCCGCATGCAAAGTAAGATCGTGGGATAATACCAGCTCTAGTCTGAGTGTCTCCCTCTCCTCGGGCTGTCAAAAGTCGTTGTCCACCTGTCGGGTCTGGGCGACGGTATGGTGTCGGTCTCTGTGCCCCACTAGTGCTAGCACCCGTCCGGATTGGACCTCCTCTCAAGAAGCCCTGTCGTCGCTGACTATCCTCTATGTCTCTCTCTACCAGTGCAGCTCTGTCCACCAAGTTCCCATACTCCCTAATCTTGAGAGCCACCAACTTCTCCCGGATGACCGGCCTCAGTCCCTGCTCAAATCGCTTAGCCCTGTCGGCCTCCGTAGATATAAATCCTGTAGCATAACGGGAGAGCTCGTCAAACCTCCTTTCGTACTCGGCCACCGTCGTGCTACCCTGTCGTAGAGCAAGAAAGTCAGCCTTCATTCGATCTCTGACTGATTCAGGAAAGTACTTGTCTTGAAATATTTGGTCGAACTCCTCCCAAGTGAGTGCATCAGTGTTCCTCCGTCTCTTGACCGAATCCCACCAATGGTCGGCCTCCCCCTCTAACAAATAGGTCGCCAAGCCAACCCTCAAATCTTCGGCAACTCCCATGCCGTCACATACCTTCTTCACTCTGCGTATCCACTTGTCCGCATCCAAAGGGTTAGAGCTCCCTTGGAAGGTGGGTGGATGTTGTCTCAGAAATTCTCGAAGAACCACCATCCTTCGATCTCCATTTTCAATTCCGGGTACTTGCGCTAGTGGTTGAGCTCCACCATTATGGTTGTTGTTCCCATTCTGGTTTTGTACCAAAGTGGTGAGCTCCTTCAAGCATTGATAGATGCCATTCATGGCATCGGGAGGTGGTGGTGGTGGTGGATTTGCTTGACCTCCACGACCACGCCCACGTCCACGTCCTCGTCCTCGTCCTCCATCCATCCTGCACATCAATTCACAATTTAATTTCATTGAGGTACAAGACATCCTAATTATTGCTTTAATTTAAAGCCTAAGATTTATATAAAACATAGATCAACAATTTTGTTCAACCTAATCCTGCCTTTCTAGTGGTAATCCATAACCTACAGCTCCCATGTAAGACCTAAAGCCTAAGCTCTGATACCAAATTTGTAACGCCCCAAAAACCCCCTTGGGTGACATTACATTCTAAAAACCATTCACCCCATGAGAGCATTACGTAAATTCATCACGACGAAAGTTCATTCATCAACCATTCATATTTTAACAAAATTTGGGCAGAGTCTCCTTTGTACGGGGAGCTTTACCCAAAACACAACCTGTACAATTATATTACAATTGACCACACCGGGTCCACATATGCATAACTATTGACCACACCGGGTCTATTTATCCATCATAAAATAAACTTTCATTCATCATATGTCATATCCACACTATCATCCCAAAAGAATAGGTCCAATCTTGGCCTTTACATCTCCACAATGTAATAATATAACGCAGCGAAAATAACAAAAAAAAAGAACTAGACTTCAAAAGGATATTCTAAGTATAATCTAGTCTAGAACAAAATAAAAGTGTCGCTCTAAGCGTCCACCTCGGGATCCACATTCCCTTCAAGCGGAGTCTCCCAATGGGCGGGCTCCTCGGCTCCTAACTCCTCCTCAAGTGTGAAATCTGAAAATGTTATTTGTAGGGGGTGAGCACGAAGCTCTGTAGCAAAATCCTCTCAACTCATACAAGGTTTATAAAAATATATAAAAGGGTCGGTCTCATTTTTCAACATAGCATAGATACATAATTTGAAATGAAACGGGTGCATTTTTCAACGAATCTCAAGTTTAAGTAACAATAGTAATAGAAAGGAGCAATTTCAACCAAGTGCTAATAAACATCCATTGCCAAAATATAAATCATTTCCCACACATGATATCATATTGTCCTCTCTAACGGGAGCATCCTTACAAGGAACCTCTCACCCTCAAGATTTGGTTTCTCAAGCATCCTTACAAGGAACCTCTTGAGAAAATCACATACTGTCCTCTTTTGGTATGAGCATCCTTACAAGGAACCTCTCACCCTCAAGATTTGGTTTCTCAAGCATCCTTACAAGGAACCTCTTGAGATGGAATGAGCATCCTTACAAGGAACCTCTCATCCATGTTCATTCCAACAACCATACAAGATCACATCATCCCAACAATCGTCACACATAACCAAGGATTCCATAAATCTCTAATTTACAAGCAAATTTCCAAAGATCCACAAATCCATTATGAGGCAATTTCAATAAACAATTACGAAAATACAAGAGATCACCACAACATCATTTATTACTCAACACAAACCACTAAAGTTTTCAAAGCCAAGATTGAGTGACTATAGAGAGAAAAATTCATATTTCTCAAAAGTTAGGGTTGAGAGCAAAAACAAGAGAAAGTAGTTACCCAACCATAACATTGTTTAGAACATGATAATATTTGCATAGACATCAAGAATCAAAGGTTTCCTAACATACATCTAAGATTTAGATCAAAAAAAAAAAAACCTATATGTATACATAGCCCTAGTCTCAATGTAAGAGAAAGAGAAGAAATCCCCTACCTTGAATCAAAGTTTCAAACCAAAAACTCAAGCTCTAATGACCTCCTTTCTCCCTTTCCTCCTTTCCTCTATCTTCCCCAAGGGTGCTAAGGGGTTTGGGGGTGAGAGATGTGAGAAAAAAATGGAAGAAATTGGCTGGATTCTGTGTTTTAAACATAGCAGTCCGCGACAAATCACTGTTCATTGCTGAATTTTGAGTTTTTTTCCAAAATTACAGTTTTGCCACTAAAAATCTCCAATTTGATCCATACGACTACCCTAAGGTTTTTCGACGTTCCGGATTCATTTTTAATGTTATTTTAACCTAAAAACATTGCTTTTTATGATTTATTTCAAAACTAAAATAAATTCACACTTGGAACATTAAAATTTCTATTTTATTCCTTCGAACTACTATAGGTGATATCCTTACGATTTTAATATATATATGGTTTATTCTTAAGTCATTACATATAGAAGAATCACTAAACAAGTACATTAATATATTAATGTAAACATATGGGGTTTTACACCTTCAAGGTCTAATAAGAAAGCACAACCCTTTACTATCCAAGGAGCACCATAGTGCAGATTTTTGGTCAACTTCATAGAATAAACTGATTTGACTCAGGTATTTCTAGGAGGTGTAACCTATATGGTTGGAAATATATACGAGTTAGGGTTCTAACAAAAATAACGGTGCACAATTCGGACTTTCGAATAAAGAGTTATGATGAAATTAGCGAAAGGTGGTCTGCCGGACAGATTTTTGGACAGTGTAGACACTACTTCGTAATATGGACATAACTCCTTCCTCCTAGTTCCGATTGAGATGATTCAAGGTGATATGGAATCCTAAGAGAGAGCTCTACAAATTTCATGTTTTAAGTTTTGAGAGATATGGACTGCATCAAGGTCAAAATCGAGCTTGATGTTACAGTCAGTGCACTGTTCATCCCTTTTGCATTCTACCAAATTCAAACACACATCACTACACATATCCCCATTTTTACAACAATTATTTACTATATATCTATATACATATATAAAAGAAAATGCGGGGTGTTACAATATCACACTAAATGAGTAGGTTGATTTTGAGGCTAAACTGGATCAGGAAGTGGATCCAAATTTGGAGGCTTAAAGTTCCTTTTGTTTAGTTGTGTTTTTATGAGACTTGGTTATGAGACAATATTAGGAATATTTCTTATTTAGTTAGTTGAAAGACTATTATTTTGGTTTTGGTTGTAAACATAAGGATTTATTTATATTTCTCTTAGAGATTTATCTAGTTAGTCTTTGAATGTGGAATGGTTTTTATTATTATTATTATTATTTAATTATTAACTTAGATGCTCTTATGGTTGGATGTTGTACAGATAGTGATGTCTTCTAGATTGGATTTTGGGGCTTTACTAACTTTTAGCTATATGTTCACCTATCACCAACAGTTATAGTCATGTAAGATTATTAATCATTCAAGCTATATGTTCTCCTAATTAATGAAGGTGATTTGTTAGACATGTACTTGATTTTATAAATTTTCACAAAGTCTAACACAAAACAAGAATGCTAGGGTGAAAGAGGCATGGTTTAAGGATCAAGTACTAAGACTTATAACCACTAAGTTTTCTATCTCCTAATTTGACTCGTAGTAATCCACTTCAACTTTGTTTTAATGACAAAAAAGCTACAATCCAAACCAAAATCTAATTACAAATAACAAAAGAAAATTTGTTTACTTTTTCTTTTTCCAATGTTTTTGTGTTTTTGGAAAATTAGCATAAAAACAAAAAATTATGCATAGCAAATGCAACAAACAAGAAATATTTACAATCATGAACCTAGAAAATGAGATGCAATGCATAAATATTAATCTAAGTTCACACTCTCATTTCACCTCTTCTTAGGTGATTCAACCACTTTGGTATCCTTATGGATTTCCAACTTAGTTGGAATAGTGAGCTTCTCAAGGTTCTCACTTCACACTCATACTTGTTCTCTTGTCCAGTCTCTTGGGTTAGCACGAGGAATGGATGGAAGACTCACTCTCTTCTCTCTGGAAGTTTCTAAGTCAATTTTAACTTTGGGAGTAGGAGGAGTCTTCTTCAACCTAACTAGTGAGCCTTTAGGCGGTAACACATTCCTAGGCATTGACTCACTAGACCTGTCCATAAGCTTGGTAAGATTATTGACCTGGTCATTGAAGACTTTGGATTAAATTGCTAGGTGGATGAGTTTTCGGTTCATGACTTCCCTAGTGTACATGCAAAGTGCACTATAGTGATTGTGTTCTCCACAAGTGAAACAAACAAATTGTCTGACATAGGATTCCTTAACAACAAACTTCTTTAAGTTTCTACCCTTGTTATCAACTTTAGCTTTTGCATGATTATTGTTCACTCATTGGGGTGAAGAGTTTGCAATCCTTTTCACAAACACTGTCTTGGAAAAAAGTAGTGGTATTGTGCTCAATAGTGTAACCCAAATCTCGTTTGTCATGCTCACTCTTCCTTATAGACAACATTTTCTCAAATATTTCTAACCCTAGGAAAGTATTTGAGAGAGTTCTTGTGACTCTTGAAGGTCTCTATCAAATTTTATCAACTCTAGACTCTTCTTTAACTCAACTAGCCTATGACGCTCTCTTTCTAAAAAACTCATCTTATCCTTCAAGGACTTATTCTACTCTTCTAGCCCATAAATATGAGCTTTGGACTTCACTAAGCCCACATGTAAGACATTGTACCAATTTATATGGATAATATGATTTTACGAATACTTCTAAAATAATTTCAATGATGATAAGAACTTCGAATCATTGTTGAAAGAATTATCATGAAGTTTGAGTTTTGCACATATTGCCTCTCGAATTAAATTTAGGTTTGGAGGAATTTAAGATGATAATGGTATCTAGGTATATTTCCAAAGGTAGCTAGGTCAAAATAATGTTACTATTAAATCCGGGAGGTCCTGAATCCTTGAGATACATGTTTGACATGCATCGTCGTTTGGATGGGTCAGGTAGTACTTTTGGTGTTTCGGATATTTTATTCTTTAAGAGATGAATAATGATTATTGATTGAGATATTGATGATTCAAGGTGAATCTAAAATGTTTGAAGATCACTCAAGATTGTTTTATAGGTTTGAATTTGAAGGAAATAAATTTGGAGGTATTCGGGGCTTAAATGCATTTTGGAGAGAATTCAGGTATAAAGGAATTTACCAATATATAAATATTTTGGTCATATCTTTTTACCCTGATGTCATATTGCATTCATTCTTGCGTAATTGGAAAGAATACTTGAAATACTACAAAAGAGTATTTCATTAAAGTGTCGTGAACCTCTAACTAGGCCAAAACTATCTTGAAACTTTCTACAAAAAGTAGGCTCCATCCGAACGAAAAGTAAACATGTGAGATTCTTAAATTAGGAACCATTCAAATGGAGCTATACCGGCCAAAAGGAAGCTAGAAACTGAAAGTTAGGACCATTCAAATAGAGATTTTTTCTCCGAACGGAAACACGATTTTTAACCTTATCAGCTTTGCGCCGCTAGAGTCTTGAAGAGAAGAAGAGTATATCATACTAGATTTTTGTAAAACCCAGTAAATTTAAATTTTTGTCAACAAGGACAAAACAGTAATTTTTCTGCTAAAGTACAGGTTGGAGACCTGAATTTTTCTAGATCTCGGATAGCAAAACGGACCTCACCTTTGAATTCCTCTCACGAAATCTAGTTACCACGTCAAATTTCATCGAATTCTGAGATAGTTAAATATTTTGTGTTTTACGAGGCGATCGAGTCTCGGGTGACCCAAAAACGAGATTTTTGGATAAAACTTTAGAATTTGAAAAATAATTAAATAAAATTTAATTATTTAAATATTTTAAACTTAAACCAGGACAAAATTTAATTGTTTCGAGATAAAAACGGACCAGAAAACAAAATGGTCGTGTGGCACGTTGTGGGCCAAGTATCCTAAGAGTATAAATAGGGGAAAAAATCAGATTTTTCCCCCATTTCTTCAGCCGGTTAACGTGAGAGGTGAAGAGGGGGAAAAGGGAGGAGCTCTCCACTTCTCTCTACGATCTACGACTCCATGGTGCTCAAATCCACACGGGGTAAGAACAAAAGTTGTTCTCCTCTCCGAGGGCTATGTGACCACACCAAAAACAACGGGTTTCACCGAAGGTTAAAAAATGAAATTTTGGGGAAGTAAGGATTCAAGGTTGTTTTGGGTTCTTGGGGCTTCCCAACGTCATTTTACGCTTTGAGAGGTAGGGGTTCTCCTACTTTGGTTCATTTATCACTTGTGTTATATGAAATGTGTGGGTTAAAAGAGAATATGTATTTCACTCATTTGTGTATATGACATGGATGAAATGGGCATGAAAAACGAGTATGTAATGGGTTGAAATAGAATTTCCTAGCTCGAAATTGTGATATGAAAATTGCTTGTTTTGTAATTCCATGGGAAAAGTGATTATATGAGCATGCTATATGTTTTATATTATGCTTTGTGAATGAGGTGGAAATTCTTATGTGATAATATGAATTGTTGTCTTGAAGGTGTTTGCCAAAATGTCTATGTGTGGATTGAGTTGTTATGACTTGATGATATATAACATGCTTAGAAAATGTGTTGGAAAGAAATGTTAATATGTGCTCTTTGAGATATTGACATTGTGATGATTTATGGAATTCATATGCATATGATATGAATCTCCATGGAACATGTAGACATGTGGTTTAAAATTGCTCATCTGACATTCATTACATGTGGGCACGATGTTGGAATAGCAATAATTCATTATATTACATATGCATGTAGACATCGCAATTTATGTGTGTGGGTGCATGGTTGACATCAAACACCACGTAGGTGGATGATGGGTGGGCTCGGGAAAGTTGGATTGAATGTCTGACTGAGTCGCATGGTTGCATGAAAAAGACTTGGGTTGGGGTAGCAAGAAGGGTTAGACTATCCCTCGGATGAGAGACCTAGTATTTGGATACGCACTTCCGTTGGTATGAGAGCCCATAAAGTGTGTCGGTGTATGCAGAACCATTGGTGGAAGTCTATGAATTCCGTGTCAGTTGGGTGACCGTTGCTGTAAGTCCATAAATACACACCCCAAGAAAGACTTGGAGATTTTAGTTAGTCATTAGGTGTGTAACACAAATGGCGGGGGCTTAGGGAGCCCAGTTTGATATTCACTGCATAACATGAGGTGAAGGTAGATAGTCGGAGCTAAGAAAGCTCGGTATTAATACACATTGGCATGGCATGTGTCGTCGAGCTGGGAAGGGCTCAGGTAAATTGTATGAATGAGCATCATCTCATTTCATGGCATAGTATGTCAGATTTCAATCTTGACTTGCTTAAGTATTAATTGGAATGAATTTTGGTTGTATTTTGTTGCATAACACATTGCATATGCACTTAGGTGGGAAGTAGCCCTTGTAAGAAATTTTCTACTGGGTGTTGGCTCATCCTATACGAGAACATATTTTAGGTGCGGGGTTCGTACCAGTGGAGGACTCACATTCGGGGCCTCAAAGATGAAGAAAAGTCGGTTTGTGGCTTTTGAAAACAAGTTTTTGTAAAAACTTTTGTTTAAAACCCATTTGACATGTAAATATATGGAATGGGTCGTATTAGACGTTGCATATATTAGATTATATGTGAAAAACATGATTTAGTATGTTTTGGATGAAAAATGTAGGTTTTGGAATGGGTTAAAATCGACAACAGGTGAATTGGGCAAAACTGGACAAAGTGTACCGGTACTGCGTACCGGTATAGTCTGCTCAGAAGGAAAAGCGTACCGGTACTGTCTGTCCAGAAGGCAAACCGTACCGGTACACAGTACCAGTACTGTCTCTTAAAATCTGAGATTTTTAAATTATTTTGCTAACCTTTGGACCTTGGTTTCCTTAGTTCCCTTGACACAAATGGACCTTAAAAGAGATATATTGGGGTATATTGAACCTCGATAAGAGTAAATGAATAACGAAACACGGGTAACACGTGTGAGTTAAAATCCTGGGTATTGGGATATTATTGGTGAGATATCAGCTCAAGTGACACTCACAGGCATTCCGCGGGTTGACGAGTTGTCAATGGGACCCCGGGTTTTAGGGGCGTCACAATTTTGAAGAGATCCACGTATAAAGAATCACATAAAATACTATAGGAGCAATCAAGGTTGGGTGTTTTCTCATTCCTATTCATTGAGGCTAGTGCTAATAACTGTATACTTTGCAAACTCTATCATATATATATGATAGATCTATAACTATTTTGAATTCCTTTAAATTATTTGATTTGTTTTCTTAGAAAAATATCTGATTTACATCCAAATTGTACGTTTTTAATTTGTAAACCCTATATCTTATATACTGTCAAATTGATAATATTGTTTTGGTGATCTAATGCTTGTGTTTATTAAAGTATTCTTTGTTCTGAAAATTGTAGAACAGTTGTTCATGGTACACGTGGATTTTATTAAAATGCATGAATTAGATCTCTTATATGGTGGGATTGATGAACTATGATTTTATTCAAACTTATATCACAGAGTGTTTAGATGTTTTTCTTATCTTGAATGGTTTGAAGATTTTCTATCACTCATAGTGGGGTTTGTTCCTTGCGGGGTTTCAAATCAATATTCATTCACGAAGGTCCAAGGTTGAGGATTCGTATACTACTTCTGAAAATATTTTGGAAAATACTAATGTGTCAATATACGCATTTCCTAAAACGTTGTGGCTCTGCGTACAAGAGATATAACTGTTATAATCTGTTGTTTTCTAAATGATTCCACTGATCTTGAATTTTCTCGAAACTTGAAATTGTTATAATGTCATATTTTTTTAAAGGTTATATATTATTTTGTTAAACTGAGACCTAACTATTTTCTTTATTTCTAAACCTTGTTTAGGTTTGGAGAAGTTTCTCTACCGGGCTAGTTTTGCTCACCCCTTAATTAATTTTTTTTTTTTTAATTTTGGCATTAAGAAGGATACACACTTAAGTGAGAATGTAGATTAGAAGGTTAAAGTGGATCGGGATGTGGATCCGGCTTTTGAAGTTTAGAGATTTATTTACTAGACTTCTAGTTTCATGGTTTTGATTATGGAACAATGGTTATGACTA